TAGAAAACAATAATTAACAGCCAATCATCTCAATATTGGTGCTCAAAGGGCTTCATTAACTGTCATTACTATATAGACAAACATATATAATATGCAAATGGTTACATCATTATCGGCTTTAGTTATGTGGTACAAGTTATAAGTAACAATAAATTAAAAATAAAGATTTTTTAATAACATCAACTGCTAGAGATTTGATGTAAGAAATAATAAAGTTAGTTAAAAACGGTAATTAATTTGTAGATAATAAAATTGTATTTATTTTTAAATTATTTTATAATTTCAAGTTTATAAGATGGGAATGACGTTAGAAAGCATAATAGTTTAAAAATATTATTTTGCTTGGAGTCCCTTCGCGAGGAAGAAGTGAAACTTCTATTTGTAATGTTTTAATGAAAACAAGAAGGGATAGAAAATGATTTTTAAGGATTTATTTTTTGTTTGTTCAAGTATTTTTTTATAATATTACTAAATATACTTAGACTTGTATCTAATTAATTACCCTTATTTGTTCGAACGCTACGCATTCTCTCTCATTCTGTCTCCTTCCCCCCACCCTCAAAAGCGTTAAACGTTTAACACAACCTTGTTGGAATTCACGTAAGAAGTTGCATAAGTATTGACAATAGTTTTGAAACATAAAACGCTGTATCCTATATATTCCACCATATATTTCATCCGCACCGGAAGCCAGATCAACCAATAATTTGTGTTTATAAATGTATTGTATAATTATCACAACTAAGCCTATTATCTCAAAGTTTGAACAGACGCCAAATAGACCAATTACAGGCTATGTTCATTAAAGGTATATTAAGTAAAATATCACTTAGAAAAAATATGTTTAACATACGCAATTTCTTTATTATTTTATTATTCCTTCCTCTTTATAAAAAAAACTTTATTAAAAAAAACGAAAAAATTACTTTGAAATATTTTTTATATATAAAAATATGAAGTAAAGCCAGAGGCAGAGGCTAGTGCTAACAGCAATTGTCCGAATCTTAAGCGAATATTCAAAGTAGTCGTGAAACATTTAAAAATACAATTCTCATTTGAATTTCGTACAATTAAAAACTCATTGCCTTTTAAGGGACCATTTGCATCATTAAAACGTACGATTCAATGTTATAGAGAATCATTGTTTGTGATGAAAATTTGGACATTGTATTAAAAAAAACTTTAAATTAAAAAAACACAACCTGTATTTTAAAATTATGGCTAAAAAAAACTTTCTTATAACTCCACCACCCAAATATTTCTAAACAAACATTGATTAAAACTTAATTAAATCTTAAATTTTTATTATGCTAATTTATATGTCGTATTAATTTTTAATTAATTAGTTATTATTTTTATATAACTAAATATTGAGTAGATTGTTAAAAATATAAACATATATTATTAAATCAAAAATTACTTTGTGTTAATAATAATTCTATATAATAATTTAAATTGTGATGCATTTTATAATTCTAAGTTAGACGTTATTTTATTCTTATGATAGTAAACTAACCTTTTAATATTATAAATACGATACGAGTGTTAGACTGGGGATTCTGTTACGATGTGGGGAGCATTGAAAATCTAAGTGGAAGTACTGCCTAAATTATTTCTAAAATTAGATATAACCTAAATAAATATGCACTATCAATATTTATTGTTAGAAATAGAAAAAGATATATTGAAAATTTCATCATTAATTTAATCCTGGTGTAATATATATATATATATATATATATATATATATATATATATATATATATATATATATATATATATAATTGTTACATTTATATATATATATATATAATTGTTACATTTCATATGAGACCGCACTCCTGTAGTAACAAACTCGATATAATATATTAAACAGTATTCATATCATCACTTTAATTTTAATAACAATAGATCCAGTAATTTATTTGGGACCTTTGTTTACGTACTATTTTCAGTGCCATTGTTCTAAACACTGCAATGCGGTTATCATAATTTAAAGATATTTTGTATTAATATATATTTTTGCATAAATCAAACAGAAATATAACATTTAATATTGACAAAAATATATATATATTTTGAGGAAAGAGACAAAATATTTATACACTTTCTTTTTGTTTTATATATTTATAGACTAATGAATTAAATACAGTAAGCTATTAAACACTATTTATAAATGCGTTAAAGTAATTTTAATTCTTGTATAACGAAGATGATTGTGACCCTGGCGTAGTAACAAGATGAAATGTCAGTTAAAACAAAAAACTAAATGACTCCTTATTAAGAATTTTGGCATTACACGTAATGCTAGTTGGCATAACAGATGTTGGGTTAAAAATAAATACATTTAATTTATTGAGCCAAAAAAAGCATTAATTTTAAGACAGGTTGACTTCTAGGAATTGGTTAATAAGATATTTATGTATTAATTATTAAATCTTACAAAAATATCATGATATTTAAGAAATTTACGTGTACTCATTGAAATTTAACTGAAATTTTCGTAAACAACGCGTTTTTTAACTACATACTCCCAACGTTTCTGTTCTTTTACAGGAACCGTGATGAAACGAGATGGAATTGTCAAAAATGGTCTATAGGAAAACCTTAGATTCAATTAACAAAAAGAGCTGTCATTGTATATATCGGCGCTATCAGCTTTAATAATGGATGCGACATTAAAATAACTTGAGGCTGTCAACAATTATTATAAAAACTCATTAGTATTTATGATTATTGTTAAAAGTAAAACCAAATCAAAGATTGTTTAAAAGGAGAATAGAACTATGTTTGGATCTTGGTATAAATATGACGTCTGGACACATGACAGCAGAGTTCAGTGAGTGCGTATCATTGAAGTATGTGATTATGAAGAACCTTACAGAAATACAGGAGCATTAAGAACAATTGAAGTTTCATTTTAAAATATCATGGAACGTACTAGAAGAAGTGATGACACTCTCTTTAATAACAACGAATTTGTAATAAATCCTATATATATTTACAAATTCCTGTTCATAACGTTATTAACTAAGGCACTTACTAATGTTGATATCAAATCCATGCCCTGATAAGATTTTGATGCAGTTTGACATAGATAAGTTAAGATATCTGGAAAAGCACTATGTATTAGTTGTGAGTGATCACTGATTTGTATCTAGATGTTTGTCTGTTTAAAACGGGAATAGTAAGTAATTAGTTTTAAATAAAGTATCTTTAATAATTTGGGATTTCATTAAATAATATTCAAGGCAATTTTTACTTGAAAAACAAAGATCACAAGACTATGTTTTATATAGTAAATTTATTATATATACTGCTGTAATATTTAATTTAATTAATATATTGTGTTTAATATTTAAATTCGACGGAGTTTCAAACACATATCGTATTCAACCATCCGTCAATTCTATCAAAAACATTTATTCTTTTGACAGACATCTCTCTGGAAACGAAAAAACATTTTCAAAAAAGATTCTTACAAAATTTGATATCCGTTTTTAAAAAAACTTTTAAACGTTAAAAGATATAAAAACTTTTTTAATAAATTAACTATATTTTTCTCTATTAAGAATATAAAATAACTTTATAATATTATTAATATACAATGCATATTGAAAATCATTTCAAAAACTCTTAATACAAACAAAAGGGGTTTAATACTTCGATGAAATCGCGAACAAATTAAATATTTAACGAAGAATAATGAACAAACATAATTACGGCCAGATATCTCATTAGTAGGAATATATTATAAAAGAATACTTGTATTATATAAATTATAATACATATATAAAGACAACCCATGTTCTGAAGTGTTCGGAATGCTTATATATATTGTATGTATACATATATACTTAGATATAAGTCAGTAGTGGCTTAGTGGTTAAATGGCCCGCCTCTCATTCATGAGGGCGCGGGTTTGATACTGGCTAGTACCAATGTGATTTTTCCAACTCATATGTACTATCTGAGAGTATTTAGACATCAGTGATTAATGGATTCCAAAAAGGGGGTTGATGTCAGGTAGTAAAAACAATTAGCCAAAACTATTCACAACATATAAGGCAGACCCTGGCTAAGAAATTGCGAGGTAGAAGAAGAAGATATATTTACTTAGATATAGGTTATTATAGAAGATATTTCAAGTTCAATTCGTTCATTTTCAATCATTCATAGTTTATCTTTAATAAAAAGACGTAAATACTTTAGTTTTAACTAACCAATTGATGTATTCAACGTTGCAAAACCCATAGTATATTATAAAGAGAAGTTTCAACAAAAACTGTACATTCCTCACCCATCAATAATTATATTAATTATTTCATGTATAATTAAAGAATAAGTAAAGAATACGATGTAATTAATTCAGACACCAGATGTTACAACGAAAATAGCAGATGAATTTGGAAATTAAAAAAATACAGCTGTCCGAACTGAAATGTCAAGGTTAAAATTTAATAAGACAAGAAACAGTACAATGCCGATTGCAATATATGTACCTTTATCTAAAGGAGAAATTATAAAGAGTAACTGGATATTTTTTTGTGATGATTTTTGTCCTTTCAATAATATTTAAATAATAAAAAAGGTTTATTTGAATCTTGGTGTCTTGAATATAAGCACAGTTCTATCCCTACTAATATTATAACTGAGAAAGTAACTCTGTCTTTCTGTCTGTCTGTTACGCTTTCACGCCTAAACGACTGAACTGATTTTAATGAAATTTGGTACAGAGATAGAGTTGACCTTGAGAAAGAACATAGGATAGTTTTTATTCCAGACTTTTGAAAGGTTCTCTTGGAAACGCGATATAACCGAACTCCACTCAGGCGAAGCTGCGGGCGGAAAGCTAGTTAAAAATAAAATGCTACTTAATTTAGGAATGTTTATTTTTAATTATTGATATTATTTACAAACTTAACATAAAAAATCTTGATGAAATGTCATGATGACTTAAATTTTAAGTTATAAATACGTTACTTATTTTGAAAACTAATTCAATTAGTGTCTCTTTTTTTAGCCTCATTTAAAAGCTTGATAACCTCTGCTTTAAACTCCAGTTTGGCGTGAACTGATAATGTTTTAACAACAGGTATGATAGACGTAAAGAATGATCTATCTTCATCTTCTTCTCTGCTTAGCAATTTCGTAAGAACAGATGCTAAATTTTCACTATCACTAGTTGGGTTTATTGGTACTTCTACTTTTTGGGTATCTATTTTTGGTTTCTTTTCTATTGGTTCTTCGTCTATTGTTACGAATGATTCTTCTTGCATCCAATGATCTGATTCTTCTTCATATGGTTCGTCCAAGAAGACGCTCTCATTCTGAGTTCCTCCTACTATAAATGGATTAATGAAGGACAGCATTTCTGAATGTAAGTAAGGTTTACGGAAATTGTCTTTGATCGACTTAACGTATGCATCTCTGACGTTGAACCACTTTTTTGATATCTGCTGACCTGAAACCAAACAGTTACTTAAACTACTTTTAAATATAAACTATTTTGTTTAGGTAATCATAGCTTTAGAGTCTGTATATAGAAATATTGTAATGAAAATTTATGCTTATTATACAACCATTTACCTAAGTTGTAAGTAGTTGTAGATAGCTTTAAAAATTTATAATAATTACGTATCGATGTCTATTCTATTATATATAATATATAATTCAGTAATATATTACAGAAATATAATACTTTTAAAGGCGTATTTGAATAGCAATAATTGTAAAATGATATTTGAACCTGAGACTTTCAGGATATAGTTCTAATCATTTTGTTTATAAAACTATCATGCCATTTGTCTTTTTTAAGTTTCTATTAAATATATACATTGATCAACATCAATCCTAATTATTTACAGAGCGATTGCATTTGCCAAAGAATCGTGTTTTATTATGAACATGAAAATTATTCATAAATTTGATTTATATCAATAATTTAGTCATGACTTGACTTATCTCTTATAAGTGTGAATATGCAAATTAGCGCCCAACATACTAAAGACATACAGGGTAATACATAATGTACGTGAGGCATAAAATATGTGTATGATACATAACAATAAATGTAAGTAAGAAAAGATTTAAACAAAAACTTATACTGAATAAAATAATATTATTATAAACTTTTTTGATTAATATTGAAATAAATATACAAATCTTTCATAGAATATACATAAAATAATCCCTTCCTAGCTGTAATTTGTTACGAAAAAGTCCCAAAAATCTTTTCTATATTTTTCCCTAAAGTCTCTTAATCACTCACCTATTTTAAGTTTCATATTCTTCTTCAGTTTATCATAGTCCGGGTAAACTTTCTTATATATTTCAAGCCACGCTTGTTCTCTGGACGGCCGGTACCTATACCCAACATCAGTTTTATCCCAAAGACAAGGTTTCTCTTTAATCAGACATATCAGTCTTTCAGTTGATATCAGAAGTTTAACTGGTTCTGGAAAAATGCTCTCATTAATATGTATATATATACAAACACACACACAACACACACACACACACACACACACACACACACACACACACACACACACACACACACACACACACGCGCACACACGTACACACACACACACACACACAAAGATATAGATATAACGTTAAATATATATTGTGGTCGTTTTTAGTAATCAAATCTCAAATTCATTAATTCGTTAGAAAAGTTTGAGAGTGCTATGCTTTGAGTTTCTTTAAAGTAATCAAAACAAGTTATAGTAAAAAAGAAGATTTATTTTTCAATTTCATTTCAATATTGATTAGTAGAGAGTAAGTAAAGTCGCAAGTTTTTACTATTAAATAAAAACAAAATATGATTAACAAATTCCGGGAATGAAATGTAATTTAAAAACAAATAATTATGAATTCTCCGAAAAACTTTTAATCAAAATTAATATTACTTTAAAGAAATGCTAATAAGGATTACGTATTTAAAAAAAAAAAATCTTTAACGTTTTAAATATACATATTTATAGAGTTTACCACATAAAGAGTATGTTACTTTTAATATAATAGTATGTATAACAAAAACGAAAATACATTAAAAGGCAGTATTGAATGAGAAGCGGAAAACGTGACGTATGTAGTATTACAATTCATACATTTATGAATTATAAGTAAGAATAACTTGTATTACTTATACATAATATCTTACTTGATAGCCCACCGTGCCAAATTTACATAGGATTGTGGGTGATTTATGAACTTAACATTTTTTATTATTTGATTAAAAAAAACTTCAAAACCATTTAATTTAAATCTTTGTATTTTAATTTAACAATATTACAATTTATTTGCCTCAGAAATCTATCGTGAATTCACCTACGTACTATTAGCGTGAAGATAACAATAATTAATACACAGACGAAAATAGAACTTATTAATAAAACATAAGGTCTTTTTTTATTTGATATGACATTGAAAGAAAATCATGTCAGCCGTTGCAATTCACTCAACAAATTAACTCATGCGATAATGAACGCTATACATACACGATAAAGTCTAAAATCAATACAGCACAAACATCACAGCCTGTATAATAATATTAAACTTTATACGATCGTAATAAAGTCCATTAGAATTATATAATTAAAACATACTTGGATTCGAATCTTCCTCATCTGACATTTCAAGATGGCTTCCAATAACAAAATGGCGGAACTTAAACAATAAAATAACTTTTGTTAATATTTGGTTTAATTAAAATATGACGCGTACAGCATAGCCGGTTGCTAAAAGAATACTGAAACAATTCAACCGGCCCGGTAAGTAAGAGCGGCAACGTCGCAGCACTGAATGTATTTGCTGACGTTTTTTTGCTGCTCATTTATTGACGACTGTTACTACGTCGTCTTGTTTGAGTTACTTTGAAATATATTTATGTTTACTTAATAACTATATATGTATGCTGTTTTAATTTATGTATTAACGTTTACTTGCTGCATATTTTTTACTTCTTGTGCTGATTCTATGTTATCTTGTTTGAGTGACTTTTAGATATATGTATTTCTGTTAAAAATCAGTGATGGCCTAATGGTTGGAGGGCCCGCCTTTCATACATGAGGGCGCGGGTTCGATCCTGGCCCGGGCAAGTACCAATATGATTTTTCCGAGTCATATGTACTTTCTAAGAATATTTAGACATCACTGATTAATGCTGATTCTCAAAAGAGCGTTGACGTCAGGCAGGCGGCCGGTCGTAAAAACAATTAGCCAAAACTATTAACAAACATGTAAGGCAGACCCTGGCTAAAGCTGGAAAATTGCCAGGTAGAAGATATGTATTTCTGTTTACTTATTAACTATATAGGTGCTGTTTTAATTATTGTATGAAAGTTTTCTTGCTGTTAATTCTTTACTTCTTGTGCTGTTTCTACGTCATCTTGTTTTTATTTTCTCGTATAATCTTTACTGAATTAACTTTATTTCATTATAATAATGTTTGTAATTTGAGTTGTTTTTTGTTTAATGTCTGTTTAATAGGAACTTCGTACTTCTGAATTTCTTTTGTATAATCTGAGAATACAAAATTACCTTTCTGTTATATAATATACTTTTAAGATTATTTTTAAAGCCAGAAACATAATTTAATTTATCACTATTTAATTTAATTATTATTATTTATTTCAATAGTTTTTTATTTAGTATCAAAAATTGTATTACTTAAACCTAGTTTTTGTTGTCGTTTTTTTTATGTTACAACTAAAATTACTTTTAAAATATAGTTTATATTTATATCTAGAACATTTTATATATCTTGAAGTATAATTTGTTTAATAAAGTAGACGTTCTTTAATATGACAATATTTAAAAATACCCGAGTATTGAAACTGTTTGTGAAGCCTAAAGGTTGTATCTATGTATGAAAACCTGAAATATAGATGAAATAAATTAAAAGTTACTATTCGATCAAATTATTTAAGTCAAGCTAACGAATTTATAGTTAGTGGTGGCTTAGTGGTTCAAAGAATCCGTCTCTCATGCACGAGGGCGCGGGTTTGATCCTGGCAAGTACCAATGTGATTTTAAAATTCAATATAAGAATCATTTCGACTTGATGGTTCACTTTCCTTTCCTATAATAAGACTTTTAAAATAAATCTATAGCATCCGTACTTGGTATTAAAATTAATATTTTATTATTATTTTGGTCAATATGTAGGTTTAAACTTACATTTACTAGTTTCGAATGAACTAAAATCGTATTATACTGCAAAAGAAAACGAAATAACGCCGCTTCTCTTATTGCAGGTTCAATTCCAGTTCGTGACAATAAATTTCTCATTCTATATATTCTGTTTTGTGTGTGTGTGTATGTATGTGTGTGTGTATCTAAATCAAATTATTACTTATAAAAATATCTTATATAAAAATTACACACATATCTCCCGATGTTATAATATTTCTGAAGCTCCGCAAAATAACTGTGTGTTAGACGAATAGTGTTCAAACAGAAATATTATATTATCATTGAAAATGTAATCCTATATCCAATAATGTAAGGTTTATTTTCAAACGCATCAGGCTTATAGGAAATATAGAGGTTTGAAGGAATTGAGGCTTTGAAGGATGACAAAGAATATAAAAAACAGATGCGAAATTAGTTTTGAACCAAATATTTAGTTTTAAATTTTTAAACATTACCAAATAAATGATAATAATAACGAAATTATAGAAAATATATTCCTAGTTTGATTATAATATGATTCAAACAAAAAAATATTATAGCTTGATCGTAAGTTTTAACCAAAATGGGATAAAAATAACAAAATAATACAGAAAACTAAATAACAATAAATGTTTAATTTAAGCAAACCTATTTCATATAATCAAATCAATGAACCAGTAGCATACATACATATATATTATTTGATAATAAATTGATTGGTTATAAAGCCTAACCATACTTTAGAAGCGAGATACTAACTAGACGGAAACCCTTCATCCAAGTCTTGAGATCCTGTTGATGATCAAAACCCTTAGAATTTGGACTTTGGAGAGCCCATAGCACATCCTATTTTCCTTCTGAAGCTATAGAAACCTCTCATCATTCAATGTATTCACGGTGCGTGTGTCGGGTCCATCGTTGTAGTGAGAGGAGCTTCAACAGTGACTGGGACTTGCGACCCAGGTGTAGGTTTAATATATATAGAGAGACGAAACCTCTCATCATTCAATGTATTCACGGTGCGTGTGTCGGGTCCATCGTTGTAGTGAGAGGAGCTTCAACAGTGAGTGGGACTTGTGACCCAGGTGTAGGTTTAATATATATAGAGAGACGAAACCTCTCATCATTCAATGTATTCACGGTGCGTGTGTCGGGTCCATCGTTGTAGTGAGAGGAGCTTCAACAGTGAGTGGGACTTGTGACCCAGGTGTAGGTTTAATATATATAGAGAGACGAAACCTCTCATCATTCAATGTATTCACGGTGCGTGTGTCGGGTCCATCGTTGTAGTGAGAGGAGCTTCAACAGTGAGTGGGACTTGTGACCCAGGTGTAGGTTTAATATATATAGAGAGACGAAACCTCTCATCATTCAATGTATTCACGGTGCGTGTGTCGGGTCCATCGTTGTAGTGAGAGGAGCTTCAACAGTGACTGGGACTTGCGACCCAGGTGTAGGGACCCTATCTAACGCGTTAAACGTTCACGTCCACCTCTTAGACGATCTTTCAAATATAGTATTTTTTATGTGTTTCATATTATAACTATGATTTTGAACTAGTGAAATTATATAAAGCTCATATCTCCATCGTTGCTCTATAAAGTATTATGGGATTATCAGAATTCCCAGATTTCTGTACTGCTTTTGATCATGCTTGTGAACATTAGTTACTGCTAGCCAAAGCTTCAAATCATATACCGAATAATCTTTATAGCATCCCATACATTTGATTATAATTATTTAATTCCAAATATCATATTTATGTTAAACTTTATATGTATTATAATAATTTTGACAGTATATTCCATGTCATCTATATCTATAGATCATCTATGTCACTGCGGAAGATCCGGAGTACACCAGTTGAGTTCCCTTGACAGGTTTTATGCGTCTACATCCTGGATTAGAGCCAGGACATAGGTATCCTAGGTAATACAGGCGATAGAGCTAGTTACGTACTGCAGGAAAACCTTACATGTTTAATCGTTTGATATTCACTTGAAACGTGTTCTTTTTCACAGTAAAAAACTAAAAAGTATTTTTTCTTATAGAGACTGCAAGCTTATATATTTGTATGAGAATTGCAAAACAAAAATGCTTCTGAATTTTCTGTTTTATAATATTAAAAACGCTAATATATCGACTTTAAATCAAATATTACGAGTAAAATTTTGAAACGTTTACAAGTACATATTATTCTAGTTATACTATATTTACTACTTAAAACTAAAATATGGGTCTTTTAAAATCGTTTGAAATAATTATTTACTACATATATCTTTATACATATATAAAAGAAGGTCGTGTTAGTTACACCATTTATAACTCAACAACAGCTGTAGATACGGGTTTGGTTGAAAATTTGTGGAGAGATAGCTTAGAATAAGGGAAACAAAATTGAATACTTTTAAAAAGAAAAAAAAATTATCAACTCCAAATTCTTCTTTACTGTCTTTATAGAGGAATAGACTTCGTCCGGTCAGCTATGCATTTCTACTTCTGAAACTAAAACAGACCAAGTCGCGGGTAAAAACTAGTATATGTATATAACAATCATACTCAGTCAAGTTATTGCAACTAGTAGATAAAGAATTAGCTAGATGTTTTTAGCGAGAGTTATCCGAAATTATTAATTGATGATATCAATCTTTTACAAAGATTAATTAGAATTGGATTATTAGAGAACCAATCACGAGAGAAACCTGGCGATTAATATGATTAATAAGATCTTATAAAATATCTAGATAGCAGATTATGGGGACCAATCATGATTAGAGAATTGTTTTCATAGAAATGCAATATCAGGATTCTATACAGATTTATATGAAAGCAGTTGAAGATAATCATTTTAATTAATTCCTATTAAATTTTATATTTATTTTTTCTTAGAAAAAAAAATTCTATCATCCTAATAAACTCAATCCATCATGTATAAATTTTATACGATTTTATGTATGTTCTATCAACACAAACTTTACCTAGAAAATAACAAAACAATATAAGAATATTCTAATATTTGATTAAGTTTTGTCCTCAAAAAGACTTTTTAAGACATATAAGTAAAACTGTCTTAAAAAGCTATACCATTTTTGTAAAATATTTTTGTTATGTAATATATAAAATTAATAAAAAATTATCAAAAGATATAAAACATGTAACAATCAAAATTAAGCATTGAGGAAAACATATAGTCGGACCTAATGAAATTGGTCACTAAGGCCAGAGTTTTCCACCGTAGTGGCCATTATAATAAAAGCATCATACACATATACATTTGTTTTATTCCAGTCAATAAATCAATATGCATGTTATAAACAAGGGCATGTTTCAGCGGATACATCACAATGTATGAATATTGCAGAAGTATGAATAAAATGCTACAGTGTCGGACGGACGGACAAAACTCGAGCAGACGGCGACTTGGTAGGGTGACTATGGGTTATATTAAAATAATACATATA